TACCGTTCGCGTCCGCAAGCCACCCTGCCATGCCGGGCGAGACGAGACCACCAGTCTCGGCTGCCAGGCTATCCATTAGGGGATGCGATCTGTCTGTTCCGACCTGCTCCGATTCGACCATGTCATCCCGAAGGGCGCCTTGAGGAGAACTCGGGACGGGAACCTGCTCATAGCTTCCTGGTGCAGGCGTGTCGGCGGCGGAGGGTGACACCCGCTCGGTTCCGGATGGTAGTCTAGCGCCCCGAGGTTGATGACGGGCGCTCCGTCGAGGCTGGGCCACGGTGTCGCGGGTATTTTTCTGCACGCGGTATAGCTGTCGACGGGGCCGCGCCGTCGGCGGCGGGGGAGCAGGCGACGGCCGTCTCCCCGGCCGAGCTGGTGGCCGACGGGACTGTGTCGATGATCGACTGGATAGGGCGTCTCCAATCTACAGCTATCGTTAGCAAACGTGCACACGTCACAGCCGATAGGGCACCCACTAGGCGATTGAGATTGGGAATCTCCCAATCGGTAGGAACATGTGCTGCGACGCGGTACTCCTTGTGCGTGGGCTCCCAGTACACCGTTGTCGAGAAGGTATTGGCCTTCTCTCCTAGATATGCGGTCTTGCGCAGCAGACTTGGACCGCTTTTGCGCGCCTTGGCTTTCTGCTGCTCTATCGTGACCATGGCAACCCGGCTTCAACTTGGCAGCGGCCGAGCCTTGACGTGGTAGGGAGGCCGGTATATACCAGTCCAAAGGCTGCTCCTGTAGCTGCCGTGGTCTCTCCCAGCTTGTCTGTAACGTGGCCCACTGTCCACCTCCTACCGGCGATGCCGTCACTAATGGCAACTCTCTTTCGTGCATCGCGAGTCCACAAGTGACCAAGGTGCGCAGCCTACTACGGAGATGCCTCTGCAGTCTTGGGCCCACACCACGCAGGGCCTTGGCGTGTCCTGAATTGGTACCAAAGATCTGCTGGGTACCACACCTAATAGTGCTTCCACATGACTCTCCAGTTATGGATACTGCTAGTCAACTCATGGGTGTGGAACAAGGGGTGCGCGTTCCTCATCCACAAGTGGCTGCTCGATGTATGCGGATGAGAGGTGTTGATTAGCGTTGTCTATGTTCGCTCGAGGAGGTGCAGGACCATTGGTATGGATTCACGCCATAGTGCTGCACGGATTATTGGAGATTGTGCTAAGCAAACAGGTGATCGACGACGACAAGAAATAGCCGTCGATAGTGGGTCGTTGACGGACTTGGCTCGCCAACACCCCTGTTGCGTGGGGCGATGGAGAACGCTTGCCGGATGGGAGGGGGGGGCGTGCACAAGCCACCATTGACGGCCTTCCGCAATCAATTCGTTCCGGGGGTGGTACTGTAGCCCATGCGAATAGTGTCATGGAAAGAAGTGCACCATAGTAGGGCACTTATTCTTCTGTCTTAGCAGAAGTGGGCATCCTCTGAAGCAAGTACGAGCCAGCATAGCCAGGCTTTGACCTGAGGTGATGTCTGACCATCCCATGAGATTCATCGGG